AGCCAAGTTTAAATGCCTCATGTCAGTTAAAGGGAGTCAAACGTGAAATATAGCTTTGGGTGGCCACTTGGCAGGGAGAACCCACCCACATGAGCCTCCTCTCAAGTATGAGCTTGAGAGAAAGGGTGAAAAAACTTTGCTTGCTACAACCAGATGGCCCCTTAGGGGAGACGAACCCCGCCTGAGCAACACTGAAGAGTCAGAGAAGAAGGCTTGAAAGTCAGAACACCTGTAAACATCTTTGACATGTTTTGAATTGAAGGCAGGGCGCGGTGGCTCACGCCTGTAATCCTAGCTCTCTGGGAGGCCGAGGCGGGCAGATTGCTCGAGGTTAGGAGTTCAAAACCAGCCTGAGCAAGAGTGAGACCCCGGCTCTACTATAAATAGAAAGAAATTAATTGGCCAACTAATATACAGAGAAAAAATTAGCCGGGCATGGTGGTGCATGCCTATAGTCCCAGCTACTCGGGAGGCTGAGGCAGCAGGATTGCTCGAGCCCAGGCGTTTGAGGGTGCGGTGAGCTAGGCTGACGCCATGGCATTTACTCTAGCCTGAGTAACAAAGCGAGACTCTGTTTCAAAAAAAAAAGTAAATAATGTATTAATTGAATGCAGTATGTAGCTTTTATTTTCCTTTTTTATATTAATATCACACTTAAATTTATATCACTTAAAAGCAAGTTTGGCTCTTGGGAGAAGAGAGGAGAATGTTGTTAAAAGATAAAATTAAAACAAATCTAATTTTGTTGCTCTTAATTGGCTTTCATTTGCAATGCTAGGATCGAGCAGCAGTCTGGACCAAAAATGGTTCAGAGTGCTCTGCCCCCACTACAGGTGCAGCTTGTATTTATAGACAGAGGAAAGGAAGTGACATACAGAAGACAGAAGTGAGTTATTAGCTCTATTGGTTCAAGCTCAGCATTTGGCTTAATGGATCCTGGTTTGAACAGTTGGCTGCCTGTGATCCACTGAAACTCGACTACTGTGATCGGCCATAACTCAGCTACTAGTTACAAGAGTAAGGTTGCAGTCTGTTTGCACATCAAGTTAGGTTAGGGTCACCATGTACAGAGAAAACTTTAGGCCAAAATATGTGTGAACATTTAATATTTAATTCATTTTAACAGTGATAGGCTGATTGTCATTGTAGTGATAGTTTGTCCACATCATTGCTAGGAAATCTCTGGAAGGAGCCAGGGATCAGTGGTGTATTGATTTCGTATTGTTGCCTAACAGATCACCTCCAAATTTGGTAAATTAAAATAGCACCTATTTTATTTGCTCACAATTCTGTGGGTTAAAAATTGGGGATTGGTTTAGCCAGGTAGTTTTCATGCCAGTCTCACCTAGGGTCACTTATATGGCTATAAGTCATCCAGATACTAGAATGTGGCTGGTCAGTCTAAAATGGCACACATAAGTGTCCAGCAGTTGGGATTGGGGACTGCCAGTTGAGCAACATGTCTCTCAAGATCTCCTGAGCTGCTTCGCATGGTGTCTAGGTTCTAAAAACAGCAAGAGAGAAGGGAAACCCAGTGTGCAAGTGCTTTTCAAGCCTTTACTTCTGTCATGTTTGCTAATGTCCAGTTGACCCCCACAACAAGCCATACAGTCAAACCCAGAGTCCTTGTGAGAAGTGGCCACACAAGCGCATGGATACAGGGACTGATTTATTGGGGGGGGGGGGGAGGCTTTATAGCAAAAATGTACTGCAGATCAAAACTCACAGTGCCCCAGAACACCTCCAACTGAGAGCAATGGCATCTCCCCCAGCAGTGAGCTGGATTACCCAAAACTGTCTGATCCGTTTTTCATTTAAAAAGAGTACAATCTCAAGTGTAAATTCTTTTCACGTGTTTATAGATTATCTCCTGCTCTCTTATTTAGAAAAGTAAAGAATTTTTTTTTTTTTTTTTGGTTCTGGTATCCAGGTACTTTTCTGTTGTCTCTAACTGGGCACCTAGAGAATCAGTCCTTCCTAAATAGGCTGAGAAGCTGAAAGATAATGGAGGTTAACTAGGGTAGATGTCCCTGTTCCACATTTAATAAAAATAGAGTGGAATTATGCAAGTATGTAGATAAGCTAATCATCTGACCTAATCAGCAATGCAGATTTTAAAAAGCCTTTCTAATTACTTCCTCGGCTTGGCTGAAGGTATGGGTAAAAAGAGTTTCCCAGCATGATGGCAGCAGATGTGTTTCATAATATTTATTGAAAATATTGGAAAGAGATCCTCAATTATGATGCTCCTGAAAAGCACATCAAAAAGATATCGTATTTAACATATTTTAAACTTTCATTAAGATGTAAACATAACATAATTTAGATGATCATGTAACGACTTTCCCACGAGTTATTTGGAATCTTTCGTACAATTAGGCTTTAACTTTCGAAGCCAGGTTGCTTATTGGTTAACTGCCTGTATCTTCCTTGAGTTGTAATACTTACCTGTGAGAGCTTTACTTGTCTTGGGCAAAATGGGACCACCAGAATATTCTCTTGCCTTTGGCTATTTGGTAATTTGGTATCTTGGCAAAGGCATCTTAGTGCATGATGTTTCAACAACTTTAAATGTTAAATTGTTGACATTTACAGGCGTATGTAACACCACACAATATGTGATTTGGAAGCCTAGATAGATCTGATATTCATTTTCTTGGCTGGCTTTAAATAGTTATGAATGGCTGCTAAATGACTCATTCTAGATCATGATTGCCCAAAAAGAAACTATGAATTCCTGACTGAAATGCCTGGATCATCCTTGGGTCCTGTGCTATGTGAGTTGTTCATCTTTACCTTCTATTCTGTGAGTTGCTCAATATCTTTCCAGAACATTCTTTTTAATATCAGTTAGCCTGAGCCAATTTCTATTGCCTACAGCCAAAACAAATCTTAAATAATAGGATGCCTTCAGGTGCTATTGGAGTGACTGAACAGTTAAGCCGTCTGGTATCAGATGGTGGTGGAACTGGTTGCTTTGCCCTATAAAGAGTTTCTCCAACATCCCTGTTCTAGGGAATCTTCTCTAGAGATCAGTTGGGAAATAAGGTCTTTTTGCGCCCCAGTGTGTGGTGCAAAGAAAATATTCAAAAGCTCTTGATGAATGTTACTGAATAATTCTTGGCGTTTGAAGAAGTGAATGCTGTATTTGAGGAAACTGAATGCAGAATCACATGATAGTGAATTGTTTTATTTGAAGAGAGGGCCAGAAAATATGGATAATCCAATGTATGACAGTTTCTTTGTTAGTGATGATGAAACTAGGTTATAGTTACATCATTGAAAGTCATAAAATGTAATACTCTTATATTTACAGATTCTTCAGTCTCTAGATCAGCTTCTCAACCTGGGTACTATTGATGTTTAAGACTATTAATTCTTTGTTCCGTGTATTGTAGGATCCTAGCAGCGTCCTTGGCCTCTGCCGCCTAGATACCAGTAGCATCCTTCCTCCCCCTTCCACTGCCCCCTGTTGAAACAAACCATAATGTCTCCAGATATTGCTAAGTGTCTTTGGGGGGACAAATTTGCTGTGAGTTGAGGAACACTGCTTCAGGTTTTTTGAATGATTTTCTCTTTACTTCAACCAGTAGTCACCAAATATTTGCATTGTACAAAGCACATTTTGGTATATTTATATTTACAGCAGAATGTATGTCAGATACACTAGTACACACTAGGTTTAACAGATATAAGTTCCTTCTTAAACAAGTTAAGTTAGAAATAGGTTGAAACTCTCAGGTATGGTTTTTCCAGCCATATTGTAAATATTAGGTACAATCATCAAAAATACCTTTTTATGCATAAAAAACGGTGAAATACAAGCAATTCCATCTGGTTCTACCTAATATATAATACGCAGTAACAAAAGAATGACTTCAGACAGAAGAAATGAAATTGTAAATGGACCCAAATATCATTTTGACGACGATTTTACCTGCATTTTGCTTTTCTTTGCAAGCAATAGTGGTTTTAGAAATGTTACGTAGTCAGCTTTGACGAGCAGCAGTCTGGTTGAAGCTGAGTGTGTCGAAGTTGCATATTTTAGCAGTGCAGTTGTATAGCTAGCCCAGTACTTTCAATTGAAAAAGTGTGCTTATTTTGTGCTTGAAGTGACTGCTGATAGAAATTCTGGGCGGTGTTTGTTGAAGCTGTTCATAGGGAAAAGGAGGTAGAAATGAAATCTAATTTTAAAAAATATGTGGTAACATATTACATGTTGACAACAGTCCCCTCATTTGAAAGGATCTGATAGTCCTGGTCAGTAGGGGTCGGAACATCGAGCTGTGTCTTGCTTTGGCAAGTTCACGGTGGAAGGAGAATCATATCTGAAAATACGTTTTGATAAATGGAATCAAGATGGAGATGAAAAGCGCTTTTCACACATAGAGACAGATATTTAAAATGCTACCACTTTTGTCATTTTCGTGCACTCAGATCTCCACTTACAGCAGTAATGAAATGTGAGACAATGATTCAGCGAAGTACAAAAAATACCTGAAACTTTGTATTAGTCATGCAAACCTTGTTCTTCTTTTAACTTCTTATGAGAGCTATCAGCACCTAATGTCCCCTCTACCTCATGCCGTCTACCTTCCAGGGAAAGTGCTAATGAGCAGTGAAATGGCCAGAACTCTGGCAGTGAAGCAAGGAGGAGGAGCAGCCAGAAGGTTGAACAGTAGCTCATGAGCTACATAATCAGTTTTTGACCACGTAGGAGTTGGTAATATTATAGATTTTATAGTTCTTCTTCTATAATTGTACCCTGAACTCTTCAGAGCCGATGTAGGGTTTGTAAATCCAAAGAAGAATGGGAAAAAAAGAGTCAGCGAGTACTCAGTACATAAAATACATAAGCTTTCACTAATTCCTGTGATGTCTAGAGAATTCCATGTGCGTGCTATGCACAGGAGAGACGATCTGTGCTTGATGTTGGTCCAGGACAAGGTTAACTTTCTGCGTGCTAATTTTAATTCATTATATATGCCTTTTTTTCCCAGCACAAATGGACCCCCGAGGCCTATCTCCCAGACAAAGTAAAAGTGACAGTGATGATGATGACCTGCCAAATGTGACCTTAGATAGCGTTAATGAAACTGGATCTACGGCCCTTTCCATAGCCAGAGCAGTACAAGAGTAAGTATCACATTCTCAGGATGAAATGAGCATTGCCAAGGTGTTCGATGGATAATGGAAACTGCAGCCTCTCCTCTCCCCCAGCCATGTCATTCTAGCTTGAACCCGCACGCGTGTCATCAGCTTTCCATTCAGCTGCTAGCTCTTCAGGAGATTAGGGCAGAGAACGGAGTGTTTTAAAGAGTTGGAAATTTGTGTTTTAATTAGATACAGGACCTCCGTGCCTCTTTTCTGATACTTCCTGCACCCTTCTCTTTAACTCTGAAAAAAAATATTCTTTTTGAATATCACTATCTGATTATCATCATTATTATTAATATTCATATACAAAGTCAGAGAACTAAGATATGGCAAGTATCATTATCTTGTTTGGGTAGGAAAGTGGAGAATAGCTTTTTTGTAGATTTAAATTTGGAAGATATGTTCACCCTTTGAAAAATAGGAATCACATGTAATTTTTTAAGGGAATCCTTCCTTTCTCTCTCGTTTTACCTGGACCATGGAGTTAGATTTCAGCCCTTGTTTCTTAAAAATAACTGCTTTTCTGTCATCGTCAACATTGTATCTAGAATTAAGCCTATGCTAGCCCACATATATTTTTTCCTCCGAGAATAAATTTTTTTCAGCTTTATTGAGGTATATTTGATAAATAAAACTGTACATACTTAAAGTGTACATGCTAACTTGATGTATGTATACATTGTGGAATAATTACCACAATCAAGCTAATTAGCACATCCATCACCTCATATAATTACCCTTTTTTTTTTTTGGTGAAAATGCTTAAGATCTTAGCAAATTTTGAGTATACAACACATTATTGTAGTCATCATGCTGTATATTAGATTCTCAAAACTTACTATGGTGTAAACAGAAGTGTGTACCCTTGGACCAATAACTCTTCATGTTCCACACACCTCAGCCTCTGGCAACTCTGTTTCTATGAGTTTTCCTTTTTTTTTTTTTTTGATTCCACATGTAAGTGGTACCATATAGTGTTAATCTTCTAGAGTAACTTTTAACAACACAATCTTGAAGAAGAAGAGAGTATAAATAGCCACTGTTATTGCTGACACAATTGTTAATTAACTGTTCACCCAAAGTTATCTTAGTTACCTCATATGTCAATTCCTTTTTCCTAAATACTAAGTATCTACTCTGCTCCACACATTAGGCTTTGAAATTTAAAAAAATAAAAATTTAAAAAGAGCATTGATACGGCATTTCAAAAATTACAGCATAAATGTGTGTGTATAAAATGAATAATATATCTATATAGATAATATATATTTATATTATGTATGTGTATATATACAATATATAAGGTATATTAGAGGAAATAGGATATAATGAATCTAAAATGAAATGTGGAGTCAGAAAGATCTGGAATGATTCACATTCAAGCTCTTATTAGCTGTGCGACTTCTGGAAAGTTATTTAACCACTCAGATGCTTCTTCATGTGTAATAAGAAAATCAGAATACTTAACTGACAGGACTGTTGAGAGAGTTTGATATAGATACAAGGTATAAACAGTAAGTCACAAAGTTTTGGCACATAGAAAACTGTAATAAATGGTGAAATTAGTATATTATCCTTAATGGTAGCAGTAATGGTAATAGTACAGTGGTATGAGTATATAATAACTAGGATATACAAATGCGGCAAGCGTTGTTATTCTCATTTTGCAAATGAAGATACTAAGGATCAGAGATGGTAAATGACTTGTCCAAAGTCATATAATGGTAACAAGACAATGTTTAGGACTTCCAACTCCAAAAATATCATTTTTTTAAGACTGCCTATACATCGGCTACCAGTAATATTCTTCCACTTGAGCACTTATACATAGTTTTTCATTAGTTTGTTCAAATAATGTAGTTTCCCTGAACCAGATATTAACTTGAGACAGGATAAGTGTTGAATCCGAGAGGATGCTGAGATCTTATTTAAAATAGTGGTCTAGTGAGTTGCCTTGTCCCTGATTGAGCACAGTGAGCCTGGTTTCGTGTGAGGCAGATCTTAAGATTGAGGAGTCCATTTTCTCATCTGTAAAATTAGACCAAATGATAACAGGTTTCAGTTCTGAGGTGAACAATAAGAGTCATAGACATTTCAGTCACATTGTTTCCCTACATTATTGTAATGCATATATAATTTGTGTGTTTATAGATATGTGTGTTTCTTTTAAATCAGAAGTTAAAGTCTAGAACTGTGTGGTGACTAATATCTAAATTACCTTTACTCCATGTGGGATGTTTGTAGCAATTAATGATACTGACTTCTTAAACATAACCATTGTTTGTGCTTTTAATATTAATATAATATACTTATAATGATATATTTTAATATGAAACTATTTAATAGCAACCTCAGGAACTGGAGCTTCATTTTCAACATAATCTTTCTGATTTGCTTTGTGTACACATTTTTAAGCCACAATTTTTTGTGTATTTTTGAGACAGGGTCTTGCTCTGTCACCCACACTAGATTGTAGTAGTAGCATCATACTCACTGCAACTTCAGACTCCTGGGTTCAAGGAGTCCTCCTGCCACAGCCTCCTGAGTAGCTAGGACTACAGGTGTACACCACCATGCCTGGCTAATTTTTGATTTTTTGTAGAGACAGGGTCCTGCCATTGCCCAGGCTGGTGCCAAACTCTGGCCTCAAGTGATCCTCCTGCCTCAGCCTCCCAGAGTGCTAGGGTTACAGGCGTGAGCCACCGCACCCAGCCCTAAGCCATAATATTTTTCTAAGCGTGTCTATGCCCGTGTTTATGATTACTACAAAAGTTGTATGTGTATCTTAGGAGGTGCCAGATTCATATTCATGTCAGTGTTTTCATGAAACGATTAGTAAAGAACGCCCTGAGCTATTGCCTGGAAAGCCCTAGAATGCCAGGACCTGTGGATAGTTAATTAGCCATCATTCAAGACTGAGTATATGTGTGTAAGGGAAAATACTGTTAGGTGAACCAAAAGGAATGTTCTGCAGAGACCTCTTAAATACAGGTATACAGGTATTTTAAAACTTATAGTAATAATAAAAAAATTTTATTCTGAGACAAATATTTAATCCCTGCTAAAGAACTTTTAAAATTTTTGTACATAGGTTTACTTAGTTAAATTTCAGTGTATACAGTTGTGAACTTGTCTTTCTGCTTGCTCTTGTCTTAGTTTGTCCTTAATTCCTTAAGGCATATGACTATTTCACTATTAATTTCTCTTTCTTGTTTTTCTGTTTGCCTTTGTAATTTGATACCTTGTGAAAAAAATAACCCAAACATTTCAGTATAATATGATCAATAAACTAATGTATTAACACATTGACTGCCACACTAGAAAAAACAAATTTCCTTGGGGCCACAGTGTTTTGTTACAAAAATAGAATAAAAACTTTGAAAACAAAACAACCCTTTTTAATTTAATGAAAAATTTGTTATTTTTTGTTGTTTTCTGTGCTTGAGTTATATGCAACTTGAAAAATGATTCACACAGCTATCTCCCAAGGTAAAGAGACATGTGAGTTTCATAACTGATACATGCTACAACTTAGGTGAACCTTTATGAAAACATTATGCCGAATGAAATCATCCTTACATAGAAGGCTAGATACTCTATGATTCCTTTTGCATGAAATGTCTTGACTGGGCAAATCCATAGAGACAGAAATTAGTGGTTTCCAGAGACCAAGGGAAAGGCACAATGAGGAGTGGCTGGGTATAGGGTTTCTTTTGGAGTCATGAAAATGTTCTGGAATTAGACAGTGGTGGTGACTGCACAACTTTGTGTATATAGTAAAAACTACTAATTTTTTTTCTACATGTCTAGCATTATACATTTTACTAGTTTTAAAAATGAAATTTTATTAAATCTTTCATTTAAAAATGTTTCCTTGGATTTAATATGTAGAAGTTGTTAGCCAAAATGCACCCCCTAAAAAAGTATTTAGCTATGCCTGTCTTTAAATAAAATGGAGTGTCACTTAGTGGCTAGAACAGTAACCTGAACACACCTCAACTCACATAGATTTATGTAGTGAGGCTTTTGAACTGTGTGCTTTAACTGATCACTTCAATCATTTTCATTGATTAACTCCATTCCCATTTATCAGCTCAGCATCAGCTAATTCAGATAAATTGAAAGAAGTGGCCACAAAGAGACCTAGAGATGGGCTGTCCCTTTTTCCTACTTTAATTGTATAGATACTGTCATCCAAGTCAGAAATCACATATTCAGTCATTCTGACAAAGCCAACTTCCAGCATTTCTTAGAACATCTGTCTTATTTTGGTCTAGGTTTCCACTCTCCCCCCCACGATGATAAAATAGGGTCATTACCTTTAGCAGCTTGACAATCATAATCATGGAGTAAGTGTTTGGAGAAAGAGAGGTAAAGGCACATGATTAGAGCAAATTATTATAATTAACTCTAATCCTAGACAAAATCATGATGTTTTTACATAGATAAAGTTGGGCTTTGTTACCCTGAGCTTCTAATTTTTACTTCTAATTCCAAACATTCATAATCCTCATTTATTAATGCTAGTAGAAGAATCAAGTTCCATCAAACTAAATTGTAAAATGAATAATAATATCTGAAAGAGAGCATTCCCTCCTTTGTTTCTGTTTTACCAGGAATAAGCTAAAAGAATAGGATGAATTAATAGATATAATAATTTCAGTGAGTATGAATTGGGGAAGGGTAAGGTGAAGTGTAGAGGATGCAGATAAAGACGCAAGGAGGTGTGTTTCTTGCTCAGAATTGGTCCTTCCAGAATTGGAGAATACATGTTACTGTTATCTCACTCCATAGCTGAGTAGTCTGCTTTTTCTGATTTTGATTATAACCCTCAGTGGGGAACAAACTCAACATAAATTAATAGTGTTAATAACTTTTGCTTTGACTAGCATCCCTGATATCTGTACCTGTTAAAATGATATATTTTTTTAAATGGTACATTGTCAGTTACATTTAAGCTAATGAAAACACTTCACTGT